CGCAGGAAGATATATACTGAAATGAACAGAAAAATCCAGATACTTGACAATAAGTAAATCAAACGCGCGTACAGTAGTGGTATGTGCAGGCTGACGTATGCACTCGTGCACAACAGACACCCTATGACACTACGTATACGCATATGTGTGTCAACATAATTGGCGACGTACGAGTGCATGCATCTCGCACGTGTATACAGTCACGATAACCACGAGTCCGCGCACCAACTACATGTATTTCACAAAAGGAGTAAACACACGATTGCTCAACATATATAATCTTATTTGTTTATGATAATTTCAGACGTGACAATCTGATCAATATATATTTTCCAAAACAGAATTATAACGCTCCTTTTATTACACACTTGCAGACTTGTGAATTTCACATCATTTAAAGGAATAATGAATATTAATATAAATCAATTTTCTTAACTGTTCAAAGTTATATAAGATTAAGAAGGCGTTTGATTAACATAGTATGTTTGTAGTGAGTACTTATTTGTGTGGAATAACTTAATAAAAGCCCATTATCGATACATGTTACTCGATATAATTGCTGGCTGTAATAACGATTACGGTGTCATATATTTTGTATATATAATGTATTCTATAATCTATCTCATTCAATACTTGTATAAATTAGGTTGAATGGTTGTACGTACTAGAAAGGAATTAATATAGAGTTCGTAACTTGTTTTCTTACCTCAAAATGCAAACATATGTCTGTTTATTTTGTTGTTATATTGTTTAATAGTGTTTAAAACCAAATCAACAAAAACTCAATGATCGCATGTAACTACCGACACGTTCTAAAAAATTACATGTTATACTTATATAGTGTCGTGTTAATGTCCGACACGTTCTAAAAAATTACATGTTATACTTATATAGTGTTGTGTTAATGTCCGACACGTTCTAAAAAATTACATGTTATACTTATATAGTGTCGTGTTAATGTCCGACACGTTCTAAAAACTTACATGTTATACTTATATAGTGTCGTGTTAATGTCCGACACGTTCTAAAAACTTACATGTTATACTTATATAGTGCCGTGTTAATGTCCGACACGTTCTAAAAACTTACATGTTATACTTATATAGTGTCGTGTTAATGTCCGACACGTTATAAAAACTTACATGTTATACTTATATAGTGCCGTGTTAATGTCCGACACGTTCTAAAAACTTACATGTTATACTTATATAGTGTCGTGTTAATGTCCGACACGTTCTAAAAACTTACATGTTATACTTATATAGTGTCGTGTTAATGTCCAACACGTTCTAAAAACTTACATGTTATACTTATATAGTGCCGTGTTAATGTCCGACACGTTCTAAAAACTTACATGTTATAATTACATAGTGCCGTGTTAATGTCCGACACGTTCTAAAAACTTACATGTTATACTCATATAGTGTCGTGTTAATGTCCGACACGTTCTAAAAACTTACATGTTATACTTATATAGTGTCGTGTTAATGTCCGACACGTTATAAAAACTTACATGTTATACTTATATAGTGCCGTGTTAATGTCCGACACGTTCTAAAAACTTACATGTTATACTTATATAGTGTCGTGTTAATGTCCGACACGTTCTAAAAACTTACATGTTATACTTATATAGTGTCGTATTTATGTCCGACACGTTCTAAAAACTTACATGTTATACTTATATAGTGTCGTGTTAATGTCCGACACGTTCTAAAAACTTACATGTTATACTTACATAGTGTCGTGTAAATGTCCGTCACGTTCTGAAGACTTAATACTTACGCATCACCAGTGCTTTGAAGAACAGAAATATTAGATCCACTTCTTTGCGATAGTACCATTTCCATCGTGGATATCTTTATTTCCTCATGCTAGGACGCTTCCAACTCTTGTGCTGCTTGTATATTATTCAGATGTCGGATTGTTATTGTCAAACAAAACACTGAAAACTTGACAACATTTAGATACAAACTGAAATAACGACACGTTCTGTTTGTGTTTTCGTCTTTTACTTTATCATATGAATACGTATTACCAACGTTAATATCATCTGTAAGTTTTTGACATAGAATTGAAGCTCAGTAATGCAATAAGACCATCCAGGCATGAAACGGCGATGCAGAAACTCCTGATTCATAACACGAGTTGTTAAAAGCGCTGTCAAATGAACAGTAGTGATATATATTTAGGTGGCTAGGTCTTTTCTCTTGCAACGTTGAACACAGTGCAATACATATAAGTAAGCATTGTATTTGCTTACTCCATTGCATGATACTGTAAACGTACATATATCAAGGCTAAAGCAGAACTATCACTTTAGGGTCTTTCACGCTAGAAATGTTACACTGAAATGTGATTGCGTTAATTGCAGATTTCTCATGCCAGTGATACAGCAGTTATGGCGAAAGCATGAATTCATCGTGCTATTTCGTTACACATTGTTATTGTTCTTCAGTTTGAATGCGCCAAAATAAGCACGGTTACAGTAGTAGGAGGTGACTGAATTTGGGATCTTCAATGATATTTTTCCTATTTTCTTAAGTTTTTTATATATAATCTCCCTAAAATCTTTCGACACTATCTCATTTTGACACACACTATGTATATGCCATTTGAGCCATGGCGACATCTAGCGACAGATTTCGGAACTACTACCTTCATTCATAAAATTTCATTTATAAAATGTCCCACACTTTACCAATCTGAACGCTCATGTTTATCATAGCATTAGCAATCTAAGAACTTCTGATTATGAAATCCTAAAGCGACATCATAATAACACGATTTTTTTCTTTTTGATTTTTTATTATTACATTTATACATACAGTAAATCACCTTATGAACAATGATAGTTGGGTTTCACTGAGATATGCACATAAAGAAGTTAATCAAAATTATAGAAAATAAATCCTTATTTGTTGATCAGCAATCTGGATATATATTTTTTACGTCAAATATGATAACGCATGCGCACAAAACACCGGCGGCTATAATCTTAAAATGGCTTCCCATCTGAATCGTTGGCGACTAATTTTACACTACATTAATGTGTCACTACTGTCAATGTCATATCTGCCCGTCATCATGCGTTCGAGTTTTCGAAATCAACTACCTTGTTTTCAAAACGATCGCGTGACGTTACCAGTGCTAAATTTGAGAGGGGTTGTCTGACCCCATGAAGAGATCAAGTTGGACATCGGAAATCGACTGTAAATAGGGAGCAAAAATAGAAACGTTGCTTGAAGTATAAAACCACGCAAAATCAATAACATATATTTACCATGATGTTTCTATAAATAAAATCTGTTCTGTTATTTTAAGTAAACATTTGGTAATATTCTTCAATAAATTTCATTCAGATCTATAGCTATGTGCATGGTTTTGAAACGAAAATATCCACTTATGTTCAATGGAATTTTTACCCAATGACTTTGTTTTCTGATAGCAATTTTAAACGAAAGAGTGAAAAACGAGAAAAGCCTCGAAAATAGAATAAATATTGCGGTTTAGAAATCTTGAATATGTAGCTTTTATTTTTGCGACTTTTTCAATGCCTTCATTATTATTTTTAACGATACTTCTAATTATTTAACAGACAACCACAGATACCCTGGTGTAACACTTACTTGTGACGGTAAATGGAACAAATAGGTATATGGGGTTATCAAAAAATGTTTATATAACAACGGAGATTGAAATGGCCACCGAGTAGAAGTAAGCTCGAAAAACATATGTAACGTCTATGTTTTAATGAGTTGGCTTAGCCCTACCACCGACCCCACAATAAATTTCTAATGTATTCTCAGATCCCTGTGTGTAAGTCTGTAACCTAATCTGTTGTGGACAGCGTCATCATTTCATACAACTCTCAACGAACCAACACCATTTGTTATCACACATTAATTGACTTATTGATTTATTTGGTCTACACATTTAGCTTATTTTTTTAATCGATTTTGTATACACCCCAAATAAACAAAAGTTTATAGAGTACGGCGGTACATAGGGAACCATGGTATATTTTCAATAAAAGTAATATCGTAATGAAAGCAGTGATTTTTTTTTCTGTTACTTGCGCACGTAATAGGAAAATATACCTCCCCCATCCCCAATTGCTTTGAATGGCATGCGACGGGCCTTTCGTATGTTGTTCAGAGAGGTCATCGCCAGCTAGAACAAGAGACCCCGCCTCAAAATGACCCTGATGACTATTCACGGGCGATAAAAACAGCAAAAAACAAGACAAACCAAGTAATGATTAATATCATCAAGGATCACCCACAAAACATGGCTGCCATCAATGATCACCCACAAAACATGGCTGCCATCAATGATCACCCACAAAACATGGCTGCCATCAATGATCACCCACAAAACATGGCTGCCATCAATGCGACATAACTTTTTTTTAAATGTAATTAATTTGTTCGATGTGTGGAATGGATGGTAACGAATCACGTTATTTCAAGTAATTTTTCTTGAATCAAAAAAGGCTACAAAGAAAATCGCTTCCAAATTTAGATTATAAAGTTTGGCAACCTCACCAAATCGGCCATGTGCTGACGTAATAATGAATGTGTCTTGTGAACTTGGCTTGTGAACCTATAGCCAGGTATAAATAGTTTAACACAAAAGTCTATATCTGCTCGAATTGTGGACTGCATTAAGGTATGTATCTCATTATCCTTGTTTGTTAACCTACAGCCCGGTATACAATACTTCTTTCATGCTATAGCTTGATAAATGACATTTGATGGAGTTGTACACTCCATCGATTGTCACGTGATAATTATGCACGGATATCTAACACAAAAAACATGGCGCCCTTTTTAAAACAATATATTGCATGAATAGTGGTATTTGTTCTTTGGCTTTATGAGTAATTTGTAAATGGTGGTTATAGACAATTATCGGACGTTTACCTACATCATACAATTTAACACAATGTAAACATAAAAAATGTCGTCAGTAATAGGTAAACAATTCATTATCAAGCTTTACAGAATCTCCTGAACAGGAGCGACAGAGCATCCGGAAGAATACGAACCACAGGGCAATGAACCTCCAACTGCTCCCTTGAGACAGCTAAAACAGAACACGTGACCGCAAGAACACGTCATGGTTTTGCAACCTTCTCGGTGTTCTATGAACAGGAAGCACTTTGGACATGCACGTATATTTGGAACATTCGCTATATTGTCATAGCCCATGGTGATTCTACCGCAGTTTCGTAGCAAGTCATTTGTAGCTCCTTTGTCAATAAAATGCCAACCAGTGGTTGTAATTTCGTTAATTCGCTGTTTGAAGAACATCCTTTCGTCGTCGGACAAAACAGCCTTGATGGTGATTTCTTCCAAGGTCCATATATTTCGACAAATCTGGCAACTAAATATGGCGATACCGCCCTTCAGAGTCGTGAGACAAAAGCGAAAAAGGTTTTCAGGTGCTGGAAGTAAATGTATGTTTAGATATAGAAATACATGCAAAATGTTTCATGGAATAATTGAACTTTTCCCCCAAAATAACTGGTTATCGCTATCAAATTGTTTCAGTGGAAAAAATCTCATCAAGGAGTTTAAAGTAACAAACCGTCACATGCATTGGACAGTTGAAGTGACCTCAATGGCCGTTAAAGTAAGATCTTAAACTAGTATTTGCTGTGAATGTGGAATGTCATCGCTTGAAGCCGGGCGAGAATATTACAACATTATCATTGATTAGGCTAGCCATTGTATCCTCCCCAAGAATTCCCATAATCATCCAGATGCGGATTTGTGACATAGGATAGTAATTCTGGCACATGGCTCAGAATTGTGAACTGTAGTGATATGATCAGCCGGAACAATTGAGTCATAATCAAACTCTATAGTTAGGGTCATTAATTTGATTGAAAGAAAACAATACGCGATTGTTGTAAAGTTTTTTTTCTTCTTTTAAATTCACCTGGCCAAGTAAGCTAATGGAATAACGCGCGTACGCCGTCCGTCCGTCCGTCAATGTTTCCTCTAAATCGCTACTAGTCACAAAAAACTCAACAGAATATGGCCATTTGATCAAAAGCATCCTTAGAGGAAATGGAGCATATTTATATAAACAGTCTCCCCGGCCCCCGAGGCCCAAAAAGGGAAACTTAGCAAGTTTCTATGATCCGGCTCCACCTGTAGGAATGACTGGGTTTTGCCAAACTTTGGTACGAAGCGTTGTTGTGGGAAGGGGAATCAATTTTGCATTAACGGTGGGTCTCGCCCCCTAGGGTGGGAGGGCCGGACCCAATATGGGAAAATAGAGAAAATGCTTTCAAATCCTACCTCTCCTGTAGGAATTATAAGATTTTGGCCAAATTTGGTCTGCAGCATTCTTGGGGCGGGAGGGGTGAGGGCCCAAATACTTCTCCCTTAGGAATGTTTGGATTTTGGACAAGTTTGGTGCGCAGCATTCTTTGGTGAATGGGAACCATTTTTATACAAACGTTGGGCCTCGGTCACTTGGGGCGGGATGGTGGCGCCAAATGGGGGAACTAGAGCAAATCGTTCAAAATCCTACTTCTCCTGTAGGAATGATTGGATTTTTACCAAATTTGGTCTGCGATGTCCTTAGGTAAAAGGGAAACAATTTTTGGTCTGATTCGGTCTGAAGTATGAATAGTTTGGCTGACCCCTTACGGAAAAAGGGTTCGGGACCAATAGGATGATAGATATGTATTGTGTTGTGTTAATAGATAGTTGGAATTTCTTTTCTTTTAGTTTTAAGGAAAAAAATTTCAGCCAAGCAAAGCCAGGTGAGCCAGAGGGCATCCTGTTTGTTTTATGTTTATAATTTTGACGATTTTACTAAATGGTTGAAGCAAAATGGAGGTAATTTCAATGAATGTGATGAAGGGAACCATGGTTTTATTTTTTCATGATACACTGTTTCTATTTTTCGCGGGTTTGTTTAATCATCAGGAAAAATTCGAAACAACAACTATGACAGTATACAAGCTTTTTCAATCAAACTTACTGACGGCATGACCACAACACATCGTCACACGCGGTCCGTCCGCCATGTCACCCTCAAACACGTCCGGCAAAACACTTCTCAAATGGCCAGGTATTGGTCGTTCCACCGGATGTATAATTAATCCCATTTCGCTCTGTGACGTCATATCCTCTTTGTTTTCAACGATAAATGGGCCCCTAACAAGATCAATACGATCCCATGTCACACTTGTCAGTTGGGCAATGTGACGTTTTATTTCGAAGTATGATTTTGTCTGAAATGAAAGGGAGAAGTTTGATGTTATACTTTGCACGGTAAAACTTCAAAATGATGACGTCATAATTTGTAATGAGGTATTTTATCGTGATCATCAATTGTGTAACCACAATATTTTTTCATTTCAGCTCTTTATAACGATATCAAATGATGTCATACAATTCTTAACTTTTTGTTGGTTCATATGAGGGGAGTATCACTTTTAGAAGGTCGTCAAGCTCGTATTAACCTAAAAAAGGTCGATAATTGTTTTGTTATATAACACGGCATTTAAGTTTAGAGATGAAAAAGACAAATGATTGAAATAAAGTAAAATGAAACAGAATCGTTTTACGATTCCGCCAGAGCAACAGCAGTCAGCGTTTCAAATTAAGCCAACTGTCTTTTTTCTGACAAATACTACCGGAAACATTGTACAGGGTATTCTGTAGAACGTTTTGTGTTCTTGGAATCTTTGCCAAGTACAATTTTCTACAAATCTTCCCCAGAAACCGATGCTAATCGGCTTTCTTGACTCGGTGCACGACTCTGGTGGTCAGCCATGCATGTAAATAGATAATGTCTCCTTTTCGTGGGTCAAATGTACATCCCTTATGGAAATTCTCTGGATATGTTACCTATTTGCGATGTTAAACTCTCGTGCAGGAATTCGCCGATTTCAGGTTAACATTGCATTCATCTAAACCTGCAGGACATCTCAGAGCCATCCACATGAGAGACATTTTCTCAGTCATATAACAATGTATGATGTCATCATTTAATGACGTCAAAAAATACAAAGGAATACCATTTAGTTTTGTTTTTGAAAATGGTTTTGTAATTAGAATATAGTGGAAGACTATATAGATTTTAGTGGTAAGTCATAAAGAGTTGAAATAAAAGAATATAGTGGGTCACACTATGTTTTCGGGAGTATTTATCGGAAAAAGGACAGTTGACTGAATCTGAAACCCTGACTGCTTTTATCTTAAATGTCATGTCATTTGACAGAACAAACATCGTTTTTTCTGTTGATATCAGGATTTGTCAACCTGAGAAACGTGTTTGTGGTAATTCAAAACCAACAAATAAACGGAAGTGTGGCTGGAACTCCATTACCCACAATGCACTCAATGCAGCACGCAATGAGAATTGTCGACCCGTTGAATGGATTATGAAACATTGTGACCGATAAAACATATTTTCAAGCTTTCATATGGAAATGAAATCATATTAAAAGTATTAAATATTCAAATAAATTTAACAAACATATACGTTAATGATTTGAAACGCATGTAAGCAAAAACTCGTTGAAAAATTATAATTTTCACCATCTAAAATAAAACATCACTTTCTGTGAACGGAAATACACTGTCTCTAGCACGGAAGCTGCCGAAATGTCCCAATTTTGCGTGAAATCTGTCCCTTCTCCTAACTGCATTGAAACTGCTGCAATATTTGGAAGTATTTACTACATCAGTTTGAATTTATTTAAGTATGTAAATGTTTAGAAATTTTCCAGGAAACATCTTACACGGCACTTATGGGATTCATATTGGTGGTAACTCGGATTTATTTATTTATTATTTTTTTTTTTTGTCTTTTTGGGTTTTTTTTTTCAGAAAAGAGCAATTTATATAATGCTGGAGATTTGATTATAAAAATTCTCATGGCATATCTAGTTTTTAAAAACTACAACATTTATACTGATTTTCTGAACTACAATGTATAAAAGAATAGTCTCGGTAGCATTTACAAAAATGGCGATATCTTGGATCATGAACTTTACCCGCTCTGTTTTAACATAGCCAGTCAACCTTGCTTTATCAAAAAATAGATAAATCAATAATAAAGGTTAAGTAGCCTTTTATAAGTTGGTAAACATAAGGTAAACTTATAAGCACGGTCTTCAAAAATCACTACAAACTATATACTCTTCCACAATATTTAAGTACAAATTCATTTTTTTCAAATAGTACTAACTGCATCCTCTATATTTCTGAATGGAAAACAATTGTACCTTTATTTTTGGAATGTTATCAATTTCAAAATCTAAAGTCTAGATATGTTGTCGAAGATTTTATTTACACATTTTTTATGAAGTAAACAAACATCCCTGTTTGGTTAGATCAGTAAAGACAGACAGACATAAATAAAGTTAACTTTATTTATTAATTCATTTAGCAAGTTTGACGTCCCCTATAACGGCCTTTCAGCCTTTCACTAGACGAGATAAAGTTGACGTCCAAGTTGTTATGCATGTGTCTGCACACATTGTACACAAGTTATTGATATTTATTAATGTTGATGTTCAATTCTTGTTCATTATAAAGTCTAAACTGGTAGTAAAGGGGAGATGCGTGCAGATAAATGTGTGTACGAAATGGATGAAGTTGGGAAAACCGATGAAACATACACAATACTGTATCCTATCAACATGTAAAAATAAATATCTTACTTACAGTATGCAATTATAAAATGCAAATAATTTGTATAGCTGTAATTTTCATTAGTTAGTTTCCTTTCTCTGATATGTGTATGTGTCGGCGTCTTGTTAAAATCTTGCTAAATATAAATCAAATTTGAAAAGCGCGCTTCAGTGCAGAAATTAATCGGGAAGCTCAAAATGTGCATCTTGTTGATCAACTTGCGCTCGCTTTTAGGCAGTGCCTAGTGCCTCGCCGTGGGAAGTGTCATTTTATCTATTAATAAAGCGCCTTTATAATAATGATGTAAAACGTCGCAAGCCCCTGTGTTTAGAATAACGAAAAATGAGTAACAAGACAAATAATGATAGATGAAGATGTCCTTACCTGTTCTACGGTATAAACTTGACGATTGGAGAACCTCCGGAAAGAAAATGTCGCCATTGTCAACCTTTGATAGAAAACAAATTCAAACTATCGTTATTCTTCTTATACTTCATCATGAATTAAATGGAACAAGATGTAATCTATAATTTGCAAATCTTCTGTATTTCCGGGTTCGCTGAAGATATCGCCCCGTTAAATCTAAGGTAATTTAGATTTGTAGTAGCTGGTGGCTACATTACTGAACAACATAGGGAAGGCCCGACACATGCCGCCCAGGACAATCACAGTAAAGTGTCTCGCCCGAGGACACAAACACGCCAGGACAGACCGGTCCGTTTCTAGGTGTCCTCTCTTCCAATCTAGTCAAAACTATTGACCTTTCGCTCGCAAGGAAGTTAATCACCACCTGATATTATGTAAGGTGAACTGTATGTATAGCCAAGTCCTATCAACCCTTACAATCTCACACACTCAAGTTGTTTTAATTCCCTTGAACTTTGAGATATCTCGCAATTTTTTGTAGACACTATTAGAGATATATGATCTCAGTTTAACTAGTCATAAAATACGGGAGGAAAACTCTTTCCTTGGGTGTATTTTTACATTCCTGATTAAGAAATAATCGTCAACCTTAAATCACTGTTAAATCAATCTGATTTTCATAATTAACTCACATACTTACGTATACACTGTTTTCATAAATCTTCTTCTATGCTTTTATTTTCCCTTTGCAAATTAACAGTAATGTTATATTTAGTAACATGGTAATGCACCATCGGGATGAGTTTCTGCTAAAGGCTTGTTTCTACTTTCACTTTCGTTATGTAAAGTGTTTACTACCACCTACTCCGAACATGGGATGTAGAAGGTTTAATCATACTTTTCAAACTGTTAACGTTTGTATATCATTATTGCAATCGCTCTAGAATGTACAAATCACGTTTTTAATTTCGTTCCGGCGTTCGTTGTTAGTTTCGGAGCTGTTGTTTCAACGAAACTGTTGAGAATCGACATATTTTGTACTAATGACTTCATTCTCTATACTCCAGGGGTTACGATCACTACATCCTCGATACTCCAGGGGTTACGATCACTACATCCTCGATAATCCAGGGGTTACGATCACTACATCCTCGATAATCCAAAGGTTACGATCACTACATCCTCGATAATCCAAAGGTTACGATCACTACATCCTCGATAATCCAGGGGTTACGATCACTACATCCTCGATACTCCAGGGGTTACGATCACTACATCCTCGATAATCCAGGGGTTACGATCACTACATCCTCGATAATCCAGGGGTTACGATCACTACATCCTCGATAATCCAGGGGTTACGATCACTACATCCTCGATACTCCAGGGGTTACGATCACTACATCCTCGATAATCCAGGGGTTACGATCACTACATCCTCGACTACATCCTCGATAGGGGTTACGATCACTACATCCTCGATAATCCTCGATAATCCAAAGGCTACGATCACTACATCCTCGATAATCCAGGGGTTACGATCACTACATCCTCGATACTCCAGGGGTTACGATCACTACATCCTCGATAATCCAAAGGTTACGATCACTACATCCTCGATAATCCAGGGTATCGATCACTACATCCTCGATACTCCAGGGGTTACGATCACTACATCCTCGATACTCCAGGGGTTACGATCACTACATCCTCGATAATCCTGGGGTTACGATCACTACATCCTCGATACTCCAGGGGTAAAGATCACTACATCCTCGATACTCCAGGGGTTACGATCACTACATCCTCGATAATCCAAAGGTTACGATCACTACATCCTCGATACTCCAGGGGTTACGATCACTACATCCTTGACAATCCAAAGGTTACGATCACTACATCCTCGATACTCCAGGGGTTACGATCACTACATCCTTGACAATCCAAAGGTTACGATCACTACATCCTCGATACTCCAGGGGTTACGATCACTACATCCTCGATACTCCAGGGGTAACGATCACTACATCCTCGATACTCCAGGGGTTACGATCACTACATCCTCGATAATCCAGGGGTTACGATCACTACATCCTCGATACTCCAGGGGTTACGATCACTACATCCTCGATAATTACGATCACTACATCCTCGATACTCCAGGGGTTACGATCACTACATCCTCGATAATCCAGGGGTTACGATCACTACATCCTCGATACTCCAGGGGTTACGATCACTACATCCTCGATAATCCAAAGGCTACGATCACTACATCCTCGATACTCCAGGGGTTACGATCACTACATCCTCGATACTCCAGGGGTAACGATCACTACATCCTCGATACTCCAGGGGTTACGATCACTACATCCTCGATACTCCAGGGGTTACGATCACTACATCCTCGATACTCCAGGGGTTACGATCACTACATCCTCGATAATCCAAAGGTTACGATCACTACATCCTCGATACTCCAGGGTTTACGATCACTACATCCTCGATACTCCAGGGGTTACGATCACTACATCCTCGATACTCCAAAGGTTACGATCACTACATCCTCGATACTCCAAAGGTTACGATCACTACATCCTATCAACGTTATTTTTTTACTCAACTTAAAATGCTATTTAAACAATAAGTTTTTGCAGTTTTGACTGAAAGTACCTATGGCATTGCAGATGTAAGTAGCATTAACAATCATTTTATTTAATAGATATCGTAAGGTAACAAATATCATTGGTCATAAAGCTAGAACAATCGATTTGAAAATAATCAAACTCTCTTCTGCTGTTTATTTTGAAAAGACTAGTTATGTACATTTTAGAGAAAACTATTTTATGCAGCGAGGTCTGTGGCTGATGAATTTGGAGCTGAGTGTCGCTCCTTTGTAGCCTTCAATAGGGGCGTATCAGTCTGTGGTTGGTCACCTTTTTTCCTCCTGGAACCAATTAAATTACTTGGTTTGTGCCTTTAGGTTTGCCATGGCATGTTACAGGGATGTAGAAAGCGAAAGCGGATACTAATTTGTATGTGATGTATTTCTCTTTCTAAAATCGGATTGACAAACACACATCTTACGAACACATCTGGTTTGAATAACAGGGTCTGATATCCATAGTGTACTTAGTGTATGCAACCTCACGAGAAAAATTCAAGTCCACGCATCTTTAACACAAAATTGTATCAAAATTATGTCCCTTTATGATTTTTCATAGGTGGCGCTTGAGTCAGAGCAATGGCGCTGGCCACTGGTGAAAATGCGGTTTAATATGTCTTCATGTTTTCATCAGTAGATAAACGATAAACACCAACAACGTCAAAATGCCCCCAGCAAAGGAAAGGACACGCGGACATAGGAGTCAAAGGTAGTATGCATACAATGTTTAGTTTGTGTTCGATGAGGTATAGTTTGCTCCATAAATAGCATTGACGGGTTTGTTTATGGATTCTGTAAATCTATGATAAAACGTTGTAAACCGGGTTCGTCGATCAAGATATGGAATCGCTCCTCCACCTTGATGTGATCTCAACAAATTTATCTCGAAGTATATAGATACGAGGAAGCCATGGCTATATTAGAATGTAGTTTATAGTGGATACCACTCTGGAATCGTCTACAAGACGACTTTCTCAGTTTCTGTGCATGGCGACAATACTTTTTCATTTCATGATGTCTTTCGTTGACATTGCTTTGTAGATATTTTTGTAATTCTTCTGACTGAGGAACATTTTAGCTCACTGTGTATTTCCTGAAACATTTAAAATTGGCACTATTTATATCATCATTTTGTGGTGCAGATTTTAATGAGAAAATACAGTTCTATTACAGTAGTATGGTACTGCTATGATCTTCAGAAAATTGAAAACATATCAAACCATTGCCATACAGTTACCATTTTTGTCCTGAGCACATTTTGCACAACAAAGGCTTTCTAACCATGTATTTAAATCCTGAGGTGCCTAAAGTAGCAGAGAGTCAACAGCAAGTGCAATGTTGGGCCCAAGTGCCATTGTCAACAAAGAACTGAATGTTGTTGGCTAAGGATACTCTGCTGCAATGCATGGTTTTGGTTAAACATTCAGAACGAAATAAAATGTGTTTTCATGATACAATGGGCATCAATGTTAAGTCACCTTACAGTTCTTCTTGGCCATATTTCAAATCTAGTAGAAAATTTTTATTTTTATTTTTTTTTTATTTTATTTCCATCCACAAATAAAGTTTTTGATTAATATAAACCATAGCATTGATTAATCCAATAAATTGACATCATATTGCTAAAATATCTATTTTGATAAGGAAAAAAAAGTTCCGACTGTTAAAAGTAAGTGTAATTAGAATATTTTCTACACATAAGTGTTTATAGTGAAACCTGTCTATAAAGGCTGCTGAAAGTAGAAGAGAAACAATGTCTTTACAGGCAGGTGGTCTTACTAAAAAAATCCAAGTACTCTGTATTGTATTTATTTGGGATCCTTGGGAATCTGCATGCTTTATTGATGAGTATTTGTTATATGCAGTTAGCTTTAAAGTCAGGTTTGTTTGTATACAAGTCTAAATGGACTATTAAGACACAACTGTTTATGTGTGCTGTAATAATATTTTACAATGATTTGATTTGTTCGCTATTTTTAGATCATATTCAAGGAGCAGATCAAGATCCAGGTCACCATATCAGAAAAAAAGTAAATATGTACAATCAAGGTCAAGGTCACCCCGACCATCAAGAAGGAAATCACCACCCTCAAAAATTCATCAGAGTCAACATAGGAGTTACCCTTCTTCCATGAGGAAGCAAGTACCCTCTGGCAAACCGTACAATTTGAAGAGAAGAAGCAGAACCCCATCTCCATATGGACAAGGGTCACCTCAAAGACAGAAGTTACCAACACGACCTAAGACAGCACACCCATCTTCACAAGGGAGGTAAACATCCAAAAACTGTTGCAAATTAATTGTGATTCAAACTTGATTGTAGATTTGATGGGTTAATTAATTGTAAGATTACGTTTAGAAAAATTTTGTCCTGTGGTGTGGACGTCCTGTTAATACATTCATGATCCAAAATCTGTCTTCTAAAGAGGAATGGTTTGGGGTATGATTATGGCTAGAGCACTTTTGAAAATGGTTTTCTTAATTCGTCTTAAACAATCCTACAGAAATCATTGATACACTTAGCCCATTTATTTTCATTCAATACATTTTGTAGTTCAAAGATTTAAAGTTTTTTTGGGATAACAGTTTTGACATTTCTCTTGTAGAGACAAGATGGAAGAAACAAGGCGATTAGATACTAGTGGTCATCGAGGCAGATCACGGTCACCAATTTATTCAGCATCAAAACAACACCGGCCATCAACAACTAGTAGAAACCAAGACAGATCTCCAATTTACACAGGGTCAAATGTCGACAGGTTTGATCCAAAATCTCGAAGGTCATGGTCTCCGGAGCAGTCCTTTCAATACAGTGATGTGAAGGGTTCATCGAGGGTATCAAGGGGAAGACGAAGTCCTTCTCCGGGATACAGTCATGAGCCAGGCCCTTCTACTATGCTGTTTCCATCAGCAAACTTCAATTCCATTAATGGGCCTCTGACCATTCCGCCAAGTCACTCAAATGGAATTAAAATGTCTCTGAACAACCGTTTTGGTTTTTTTGAGGAGAACTTAGAACTGCCTCTTATCATTGAGGATAATATTACAATAGGTATACATCGTCGGGGCCCTAATATGATCTCTGATCCTCGTCGACAAATCATACGTAATTTCCGGCCCGGGGATTCCTTAGATATTCATAGGAAAGATGAGGGAAGACTTCCTATTTTTGACAGAGAGGAGATAAAAGTCTTTCGGCATGACGACATCTTGGATGATGAGGTTTATGAGGAAAAAAGGACCATAAGTGTAGCTCATTCTAAACCAAAGAATCGTCGGGATTCCTATGAATCAGATAGACGAATCATACAAGGGTAAGAAATTTTCATGCCTCCATATAAAACTCTTTATCTAATTTCGTTCACCTTTAATTAGGTCAACTTTCTAGCTGCAAGTCATTTCAAAAGTCAAATACTGTCCACATGCTAAAACAAAAAGAGGAATATGCTTCATGAAAACATCTGCTGAGAAAGGTGAACACTTTAAATATGCAGAGACCTTAAATGTTGAATAAGAGAAGAAAGTTGTACAATCAGTTGCATCACTTAACTGACATTGTAGATTGGAAGCAAAGATTAAAAAGATGACAGTTAGATGTACAGTGGAAACCGCTTAATATCATGTTCCATTTGTCAAATGTGATAATGAGCAGAACATGACAATAACAGTTGACACATTTCTTCATATATCTAAACCTGGAAGTTAATGTTCTGATGCACCAAACTGACTTGTTTTCTAACAGAAATTCTTTAAGATGAGAAATTTGTAATTCAATTTGTTTTTCCAATAAGAACAGTGATTTTTTCTTTAACTTTTGTATTGGTAAATCAGTATACACAGTAAGCATTACCTTTTCACTGACTACTTTTGTATTGGTAAATCAGTATACACAGTAAGCATTACCTTTCTATCGACTTTATCTGCATGGTACCTACTCTTTTATGAGTGAAGGGACAAGTATGTGAATAAAATCAATATCTTCAGGGTAGGGCATACAAAACATAGGTCAAACTTATGTATTCTATAGAAATGAGGAGTTCAAGGTAATTGTAGTACATGATGTAGTATTGATTGTAATGGTGAACAATGAGTACTGTAAAACACAACTATTTTTGAGCAATCATATTTTTAACACAATATCAGATAGGTGCAGTGATGAATTTGCACATTCACAAAGTATGTCTTGACATACAAACACTGGAAATAGTGCAATCATGTTTTCGTTCAATAATTTCAGCTCCAAAGCACTGAAATTAGAATATTTACCACTGAAACATTTTTAAAGCTTTCCTTTCTTGTGTTGTTAAAACATTTCACTTATGTGCATATTTTTTGCGATTGAGAAAAAGACCATTTTGTTTTTATGTTCTAGAAGAATGAGATTAATATTTGTGTGATGTTTCCTTTCAGGAAAAGTTCCCATTATGCTGAACCACAGATCAAGTAAGTAAGAAAACCAGGGTCTTTTGACTGCTGGTTTATTCACAGAGATAAGATCATCACTGGCATTTGGTATTCAAATATTTCAGTCCTGGACTCCCACTTTTCTTGTGGCCATTTTGAAAACTTACTGTATCTGTTTTAATTGCTCTGATCAAAACTGTGAATGGTGCTCTGTACTCTTCAAAAATAAACTTTAAATAATTACTGGAAGCAATTCAAAACATTTGAGATCTTTTTCATTTACATGACTGGTCTGTTATGTAATATTTTGGAATATTTTCATCAGGTTGGTAATGTTAATAGAATAGAAGTTCTTACAAGTATCACAAACAGTAGAAGATATAGAGTGGGACACTTCAATAACTACACAGTCACTGTCATCAGACAAATGACCAGTGTGGAGCCTACTAGCACTGACATATGTAGTGTATGAGATGGTACGGAAACGACCAACTTTTTCAGCTGCACTATAATCCTATGTACACTAAGGTAGAAAATGGTGTGACGAGATGGTTAACAGATTATAGACCAAAATACACAAGATGGTAGCAATGTACTGTAGTCAATTCAGCTTTGGTTAGCTCTTGATCATAGACATGTGAGAGTCTGACCTTTCATTGTTGTACACTACATATGTCAGTGGTCATTTGTCTGATGAAAGTGACCAATACACCACACTCTAAACAATACAAATATGTTATTACTCTCATATGATAACTATTGATAGGGAAATAGATGTAAACCTTAAGAATTCCTATTCAATGCAATTTTAGCAAAACAAAACTCGGCTCTTGATGCTGATTAGTCCCCTACTGGTTAAAACCAAGGAATTGGCTGGACTATAATTTTCCTCTTGGTCTGTCCCTTTGTCAGTCCATCCCTGTGTCTGTGAAAGTGCTCTAATGGATTCATGGCTTCATTCCTCATCAAAATTAATACACATATTAATCATGTAAAATGGTCAAATTTGAGGGTTGTTGGTTCAATGAAACATTTTTTAGAAAATCATTGTCAGCAGTCTAGCTAGATGTGTTTTTCTTAATTCAGCTGCAGAAATAAAAATTTGAATTTCCTGTCTGTTCTTTGAAAGTCGTTAAAAGGAGCGTTATTGCCATATCAGACTCTTTACATGTACACAGAGAAGTTTTCATACTTGGAGCATGTGCCTAAATCCCATATTAATATGTAGAGGTTTGTAACACTGTATTGCTGCTCAGAAAGATTATGAATCAGCAGTGTTTAAAAGTCTGATTGCAAAACAATACAAATGTGTTATTACTCTCATATGATAATTATCACTTTTACAGTTTATGACAGATAAAATTAAATTTACTAATGAGGCTCAAATTATGTGGGTGTTCAAAAAGTATCTATATATGTGTACTTGATTTTATGGTTAAATAATATTGCACTTATCCACTTGTCTGTGTCAAATTACAGTCTATCAGTAACAAAATAAATAAAACATAGGGATTCAGAATGTTTTGTTACCACACAAATTTCCAGGTTTGACCCTCGACCTGACCCAAGGTATGAAAGTTTGCTGACTAACACCAGATTTCGAGATGCTGCCAAAATGACACGCGTTCAGCGTAACCCAAATGATCTCCGACACAGCCTGCAAAAGAGACGTCATGATGATGACGACGACGAAGATGACCAGCAATTTGATGCAAGGTAAGATATAGATATTGTATATACTTGGATACATTACATGTAAATTGTTCACTTTTGATCCTCTTTTTGGTTTTTATTTGATTATTAATTCAGTTATCCCCTCTTGTTTGAAAGTCCTAAAGACATCGGGGGAGATGTATGGTTATTGTTTCACCTTTCAGGTAACACCCTCTAGCAGCCTCATTCCTTGAAAAAACTTCTAAAGAATCATACTACCTTGGATGAGTTTAAGCTTTAGGGTTTAAGATCTATGTCACCGTTACTACTTAAAGAAAATTTTGAACAGCACTTAGTGATATTATTCCTTGAGGGATTTGTATCAAACTTCACTCACTTCAATAATTTTTTATTGCTTATCTCTCAAGGGAATTTCTTTCGTTTACTATACCTTTTTATTTTAGAACCAAAATATTATCCTGTTGTTTGGGTAGGGGATTTCCCTACCATATCTTACCAGAATGTCTGAGTAATGGTTCTACAGAGCCATGGTGACGGAATAGGGTATCTGACCATCTTTATCACTAGCCTTAGTTTACACCTCTGGGTCGTAGGTTCAAGGCCTGTGTGAGGCAGTCACCAGGTAACAGCTGCAGGCTCCAGTGATCATCCACCACCCAAACCTTAAATGACTAGCTGTTGATAGGTCATAAAGCAAAAGTAAACTAAACTTGTTTAAGAATAGATTTATGAAGTAAAGAGTAATGGTCTGTGACTCTCTGTAAGAAGGATCTATAGTGGTACCAACCTGTACTTGTAAGTTCTTGCATTTGTAACTTTATATTATTCTACAGACTGGAGCTTGGATAGATTTTATATTTAGTTTGAATTATGATGAATTAGTATTGATACAGTATCCTCGAGGTGTACCATTTTAAAAAAGAATGATGTTTCTTTGCCAGGAAGAAGATTGAGGCCAAGAGGAAACACAGTCACCGGGATGACCGTGTCCATAGTAGAGAAAGATACCATGACAAATCTGGCGACAGACAACAGGATCGTAGTAGATCCACAGGTATTATGTTAATAGAATTCTTAGGTATTCTGTATTATTGTGTGATCGTCCAGTCACCATGGAGATCTCACCATATTAGGAATCATTTGGTGCTGATTTCACTGAACTGTGAAGATTTCATTAGTGGGAGCCTCCACTGGTTTAGCTGAATTATTAAGTCTCGCAGTATTTATTAGATCTACGTTTTTCCTAAAACGATGCTATCAAGTTGTTTACATCATGGCTTATTATATTAGTGTACAATATCTGTATGAAGGATTTAATCATTAATCTATTTCTTTTCTGTTTGAATTATTTAGACAGAAGAAATAAAATGGTGACAGAAACAGAAGTTTTGCCTGATTTCTCTAATCGTCCTGGAAGGCTAGATGCAGGTAAAGCGGACTGTAGATTTGTCAAAGTGACCACTTGGTATTTATAGCCCACCATCAAATGGTGAGCTGTCCATATCACTCATTGTCTATTGTCAGTCATTCGGTCCATAAGCAATTATCATTATTTCTATTTTTAGGTCACCTGAGACAAAGTCTCATGGTGACCTATTCTAATACACATCATCCGGCGTTGTGCTTTGTGTGTCGTGTGTCGTGCATCCGTAAACAATTTAACACTTTCGACTTCTTCTCAAAAACTCCTAATCCAATTTTAATTGAAATTTTGCAGAAACCTTCCCTGGTCTAAGATGAAACAAAATTGTGAATTTTACAGTTTCTATCTCCAGGGGCCTGAGAGATGGGGCCAGAAGGGGTCAAATTGACTCAGATTTCAAAAATCTTCTTCTCAACACCCAGATGTGGTAGGATTAAATACTCTATATGAATGGAAGCATCTTAAGGTGCTTTACCAAATTGTGAATTTCATGGCCCCTGGGTCTCACATAATTTCATGGACAGGGGGTAAACTTTATTATAGTTCATGTAGGAAAACTAGATTTTTTAGCATAATTTGTTTAATTTCCATTAGAAATGTTTCAAACTTGGTTAGAATTATGATTGAATGGTGACGGCCTGATGGTATGCCCATTTTGATCCTGACTGACCCTCAGAGGCTGATTGGCAGGACCAAAAGGGGTCAAATTGACTTAAATTTCAAAATTCTTCTTCTCAACACCCAGATATGGTATAATCAAATGTTCTTCATGAATGGAAGCATCTTAAGGTACTTTAATTACCAAAACGAGTCTCAAATTTCTTCCTGGGGAGGAATATTTTTTTAGACTTTACTGTAATTTTTGTAGAAAAATTGTATTTTTGAGCTCAAGGTTGGTTATTTCCCACTGGAATTAACTTTATAAGAATCATCAGTATAGGATGACAGTTTTGGTGGAATGCATGTATTGACGCTGTCTATATTCAATGTCACAATTTCTGTTTCATGACACTTGATAACTGTCCTTTAACCTTTATATTCAATATTGCTTATCTCGGGTGATTGACAAGACCGCTAGGCCTCTTGTTATCTCTATTTCTTGAGAAGCACTGGAGGTGAATCGTTCTCAAATTTCACATGTATGTTCCTGTTCCTGAGTTTTGAAACAGATCAGAAAATCAAAATGATCGACAAGCAGCCATCTTTGATTTTGACAATCATAGTTTGTTATCACTATACCTGAAGTATTAGATTAACTCTAATTTCATTTTTAGATTCCCCATGGTCTCTAGTTATTTGGGACAGATGAAAGATGTCTGATTATCAGCTGCTCTTGCCTGATGTTGTTGACATATGATTACTTCTCCTGTCAATAAATACAACAAAGGAATAAAAACAAATATAGATAAGCAAAGAGGGGGAAAATCCATTATAATGGTGGGGGGAGGGGCAGGTCTCTCTGAGATCTTCTTTAATAGAAACTTGTTCAATAAAATTAGACAGGGATCACAGTAACTCAGAGAGCTGTGACGTATGTAATCTACTCCTGCAAATTTGTGTTTCTCAGGGAAACTGAAAACATATTTGTCTGTGGTGTTGTTGTGCACTTTGAGAAGACACTTTACCCTAATTTCTCTGGATGACATGTGAATGTAATTGTCTGTGGTGTCATGGTCGTACCCTTTGACAAGACACTGCCCCAATTGCTCTGAATGGCAGGCCTCCTAATATTTAGGTAGGTAGCCATGGTCCACCAGCTACTACAGGGGACACCACTTTAAAAAGACCGTAGCAGCTCACAGAATGATAAACCCGTCAAACTAACAATTTAGTTGGTAATTCTATCCTTGTTACTATATTTACATTGTGTAAGATTGTCAGAAAAGAGGGGACCAAAACATAAACTTTTACTGAGAAGGAATGAGTACGTCAAATGGAAAGTAAAATAGTGTTGTTATATTTTTTCATGCCACAGTCATGGTCATAGTCTAAACATACATATTTTAGCATTTATCTGATTTGAGCATTTTTGGCCCTGAAGGTATTGCACTAGAATATGCAGTTTCTGTAGTCTGATTATGAAGTAATTATTGTGTATGTACCAATTCATATATGCACTTAAAAAGTGTTAATACACAAAATTTTGATTTTGCCAAATTAGTTCAGTTTACAGTAGATGGACTTGACCTAAACAACAAAACAATTGGTGTAAAATGAGCTTAAACTGTAATCACATAAACATCTATACACAGTTTTAATAAGTGGTAGATGGTCATTGGGGTGACACGTCTACTTTTATTGTTAACAGATCGGTACAAGTCAGAAGAATGGAAGGACAAGCCGGAGATGATACCTAAGAATCCAATGTACTATGAGGTAATGTCAGGGGTCATTTAACAGGTCAGAAAGAGGTCAGCAAAAAGGTTTTTGTGTGTACCATTTATATGATAAATAGTGTATAGGTTTGTATATACAAAGTGATATAGATATGACACGTGTGATAAGATATTTCTTAATCTTCCTTGTCAACGGTTTTGAAGAATTCTCTGTTAATCCATCCCAGTACCTGATTATAATTTAGGGCTGATTTCTAGCCATGGTGGCCTAGTGGTTGAGGCGCCTGACTGTCTTTGTCACAAGTCCTCCACCTTTGGACTATTGGTTGGAGGCAATCACCAGGGCGGTGTTTTTTCTGCATGACTCTGGCTCTCATCCACCGCCCAAACCTGGCTCATCTTTTAATGACCCATGCTGTTAATAGGACATAACACAACACTCCACACTTTAGGGGCAACTGGATGATCTGAACCAGTAATATTTATAAATTCACATGCTGTGGCTATCTGTCCTCAGAAGTTCAAAGTTTGACCATTGGTCAGTGAGAAACAAGAGCTTTGAAAAAAAAATACTCTAAGAGCATACCAATCTGACCTAAAAAAATTGGTGGTTGTGGAAGAAAGCAAAATGTTCTTGACTTCATTCATATTTGACTTTTTCACTTATCATTATTTACCAAAGTTTTAGAAGAGCTTCAGCTGTGTCTGTAATCTGATAGTACCAGTTGGTCTATAAAAGTGGGAAAATATATGACAAATGAGACTGAGATATTTTGAAATATCAGTTTTACAACATCAGTGTTTGTCCTGGAATAAATCAAGGGAGGGGTGAGGTGGGAGAAGGGCTTATTACAGAATAATTACAGCACTGTAACATTCAGTGAATATTCTGCTGTTTCTGTGATAGGTGTGGATGGGCTTATCATCAGGAATGGGTTTTTGTTTTATTGATATTGTAATTTGTGACTTGAAAAATTATTTAACAACTTTAATCAACTCCATATTATATAGGCATAAGTGTAAGTGTCTGAAAAGTGAGCAAAAACTCTCAAGTTTCCTTACAAGACAAATTTGTTTCAAAGTCAATGATACGTTTTTCATTAATGGCGCAACCATCAGACTTCATCAAGATGTAACTTTTTTATGTAATCAAAAGAGTGTTATTACACGTCTTAAAGATATTTTGATATGACTGTATAGCATAACAAGAGCCAATTATGTGATCAATTCACAATCTGTTTAAAATAACAGTCGTTAATGTAACTTTAACCTGAGAATACTGGTACTGATCTACAATTCACTGTAGTGATTCATTTACACATTATCTGCAGCATGATAATCGTGAGGATGAGGATAAAGGATATGTTGGACGTGGACGGTATACCAGACGACCTTACAGACAGGGGTTCCGTACCAGAGGCTCATATAATGACAGAGGCAGCAGCAGTGCCACCTACAGAAATAGCAGCAGCACCAACTATAGAAATAACAACAGAGGTAGCAATTATAAAGGAACGAACTTCATCCCCAATTTCCGTCCTCGTGGATTTAGACGCCCCTTCAACAGCAACTATAGAGGGCGAGGTTATCACAGTAAGTTGCCATGAAAGTAAACATTTACTGTAAGTTGGAACATGTATTGATGGTTGTGTCAAGAGGTTCACTAAATGGTCATGTATTGAGTGTGACATTTGCAGATTCATAGTCAGTGTAAATATGTATTAAAGGTGGTATTAGGAGGTATGAACTGGTATTGACAGTCATGTGCAGTAAAAATTAGGTCAGTTTGAACAAAATCAATTGAATATTGTTGAACCTGTTCCATTTACACAAAATTATGAAAATAAATTAGAGTTTGAACTCTCAGGGTCAATATCATGACGAAATGGTTAAAAGCATGCTAACAAGGCAGGAAACTATTGGTAGGAAATGGCAATTCTGAGGGAAACATATTGATTATAAAATGATTATCTTTAGAAACACTTACTCTACTGCAATAGATGTCAATCTATTGTTCAGAAATCACAGATTTTAGGTCACCTGAGGTCATCTGAGACAATGTCTCATGGTGACCTAATACTATTCATCCGGCGTTGTGTGTCCGTAAACAATTGAACACTTTCAACTTCTTTTCAAAAACCCTGCATCTAATTTCAACGAAATTTTGCAGAAACTTTCCCTGGCATAAGATGAACCAAAATTGTGAATTATACAGTCCCCACCCCCTAGGGGCCTGAGGGGCAGGCCAATAGGAATCAAATTGACTCGGATTTCAAAAATATTCTTCTCAAGAACCAGAATGGTGGAATGGTAGAATCTTTTAAGGGAAGCATATTAAGGTGCTTTTCCAAAATTGTGAAATTCATGGCCAAACGCTCTCACATATCCTCATGGGGGGGGGGGAATAAAGTTTACTATAGTTTATATAGGAAAATTAGATTTCTGAGCTCATTTTGTTTCATGTCTATTGGAAATATTGCATACTTGGTTTGTAATAATCTGTCTCAAACATGTATTGACAGTGGTTAAGGATGTTCACAAACTCAACATGTATTGACAGTGGTATAGGAATGTTCACAGTCTCAACATGTATTGACAGTGGTATAGGAATGTTAACAGACTCAACATGTATTGACAGTGGTATAGGAATGTTAACAGACTCAACATGTATTGACAGTGGTATAGGAATGTTCACAGACTCAACATGTATTGACAGTGGTATAGGAATGTTCAATCTCAAACATGTATTGACAGTGGTATAGGAATGTTCACAGACTCAACATGTATTGACAGTGGTATAGGAATGTTCAATCTCAAACATGTATTGACAGTGGTATAGGAATGTTAACAGACTCAACATGTATTGACAGTGGTATAGGAATGTTCAATCTCAAACATATATTGACAGTGGTATAGGAATGTTCACAGACTCAACATGTATTGACAGTGGTATAGGAATGTTAACAGACTCAACATGTATTGACAGTGGTATAGGAATGTTAACAGACTCAACATGTATTGACAATGGTATAGGAATGTTCATAGTCTCAACATGTACACAGACTCAACATGTATTGACAGTGGTATAGGAATGTTCACAGTCTCAACATGTATTGACAGTGGTATAGGAATGTTCACAGTCTCCACATGTATTGACAATGGTATAGGAATGTTCATAGTCTCAACATGTACACAGACTCAACATGTATTGACAGTGGTATAGGAATGTTCACAGTCTCAACATGTATTGACAGTGGTATAGGAATGTTCACAGACTCAACATGTATTGACAGTGGTATAGGAATGTTAACAGACTCAACATGTATTGACAATGGTATAGGAATGTTCACAGTCTCAACATGTATTGACAGTGGTATAGGAATGTTCACAGTCTCCACATGTATTGACAGTGGTATAGGAATGTTCACAGTCTCAACATGTATTGACAGTGGTATAGGAATGTTAACAGACTCAACATGTATTGACAGTGGTATAGGAATGTTAACAGACTCAACATGTATTGACAGTGGTATAGGAATGTTCAATCTCAAACATATATTGACAGTGGTATAGGAATGTTCACAGACTCAACATGTATTGACAGTGGTATAGGAATGTTCATAGTCTCAACATGTATTGACAGTGGTATAGGAATGTTCAATCTCAAACATATATTGACAGTGGTATAGGAATGTTCACAGACTCAACATGTATTGACAGTGGTATAGGAATGTTCACAGACTCAACATGTATTGACAGTGGTATAGGAATGTTCACAGACTCAACATGTATTGACAGTGGTATAGGAATGTTCACAGACTCAACATGTATTGACAGTGGTATAGGAATGTTCACAGACTCAACATGTATTGACAATGGTATAGGAATGTTCATAGTCTCAACATGTACACAGACTCAACATGTATTGACAGTGGTATAGGAATGTTCACAGTCTCAACATGTATTGACAGTGGTATAGGAATGTTCACAGTCTCCACATGTATTGACAGTGGTATAGGAATGTTCACAGTCTCAACATGTATTGACAGTGGTATAGGAATGTTAACAGACTCAACATGTATTGACAGTGGTATAGGAATGTTCACAGTCTCATCATGTATTGAGTATGGTGTTAGGGGAAAGTGGGAACATGTACTAACCTAGGAATTATAAAGGTAAGACTTCTATGGAGATGGTTTGAATTTGTTTGAAATTAGTTACAATATAAACTGATGTTAATGTTTGTCTCCCCTTAGCTTCATCAGACTATTACTCAAAGACATCATCCTTCAAGGAACGGACAGGTACCTATATCACACTATTTATATCTACCCATAACCATGTTACCTTTAAATAGTCTAGACTTTAATGTCCTCCAAACAGTTTGATCAGAGGTAGATTAGGATCGAGGTTGACGTTATAAACCCTATATCTACTATGCCCAGTTATTGAAGATTGATCTGGTAGCAAATATTATACTTCACTACATTATTGTATGTCTCTGTAATTCCTCTTTCGAATGAAACATAGGGTTTGTCTTGCTATGACAAGGAGCAATGCTTAAAGTTTTGTGTTTACATTCAACTTCTATTACTATATAAGATATTTTAAGTTGTAGTTAAGAACTAGTCTCTCGTCCATTTGTCTTTATTTACAATAACATATGTTTAAATCAAGTGAGAAATCAAAATGGTGTTGTTCAACTGATTATTATATATGGATGATGTAAAAATTGAAATATTTGGCAGTATTAATATTGAAGTTTTCTGATCCTCAAATGCTGTTAGAACTCTTCAGACATCTAACATGTGAGCATGCATAATTTATCATTTCTAAACAATCAACTGTAACACAGTTGATAATATCTGTCCGGATCAGAGCCACACAGACCAACGTATACATACCACTTATAGTAACATCTACTTGATTGCTTTAGGAATATATCTCAGCAATATCTACTTGATTGCTTTAAAAACAGACTCAGTAACATGTACTTGATTGCTTTAGGAATAAATCTCAGTACCATGTATTTGATTGCTTTAGGAATAAATCTCAGTACCATGTACTTGATTGCTTTAGGAATAAATCTCAGCACCATGTACTTGATTGCTTTAGGAATAAATCTCAGCACCATGTACTTGATTGCTTTAGGAATAAATCTCAGCACCATGTACTTGATTGCTTTAGGAATAAATCTCAGCACCATGTATTTGATTGCTTTAGGAATAAATCTCAGTACCATGTATTTGATTGCTTTAGGAATAAATCTCAGTACCATGTACTTGATTGCTTTAGGAATAAATCTCAGTTCCATCTACTTGATTGCTTTAGGAATAAATCTCAGTTCCATCTACTTGATTGCTTTAGGAATAAATCTCAGTACCATGTACTTGATTACTTTAGGAATAAATCTCAGTACCATGTACTTGATTGCTTTAGGAATAAATCTCAGTACCATGTACTTGATTGCTTTAGGAATATATCTCGGCAATATCTACTTGATTGCTTTAAAAACAGACTCAGTAACATGTACTTGATTGCTTTAGGAATAAATCTCAGTACCATGTACTTGATTACTTTAGGAATAAATCTCAGTACCATGTACTTGATTGCTTTAGGAATAAATCTCAGTACCATGTACTTGATTGCTTTAGGAATAAATCTCAGTACCATGTACTTGATTGCTTTAGGAATATATCTCAGCAATATCTACTTGATTGCTTTAAAAACAGACTCAGTAACATGTACTTGATTGCTTTAGGAATAAATCTCAGTACCATGTACTTGATTACTTTAGGAATAAATCTCAGTACCATGTACTTGATTACTTTAGGAATAAATCTCAGTACCATGTACTTGATTGCTTTAGGAATAAATCTCAGTACCATGTACTTGATTGCTTTAGGAATAAATCTCAGTACCATGTACTTGATTGCTTTAGGAATAAATCTCAGTACCATGTACTTGATTGCTTTAGGAATAAATCTCAGTACCATGTACTTGATTGCTTTAGGAATATATCTCAGCAATATCTACTTGATTGCTTTAAAAACAGACTCAGTAACATGTACTTGATTGCTTTAGGAATAAATCTCAGTACCATGTACTTGATTACTTTAGGAATAAATCTCAGTACCATGTACTTGATTACTTTAGGAATAAATCTCAGTACCATGTACTTGATTGCTTTAGGAATAAATCTCAGTACCATGTACTTGATTGCTTTAGGAATAAATCTCAGTACCATGTACTTGATTGCTTTAGGAATAAATCTCAGTACCATGTACTTGATTGCTTTAGGAATAAATCTCAGTACCATGTACTTGATTGCTTTAGGAATAAATCTCAGTTCCATCTACTTGATTGCATTAGGAATAAATCTCAGTCCCATCTACTTGATTGCTTTAGGAATAAATCTCAGTACCATGTACTTGATTGCTTTAGGAATATATCTCAGCAATATCTACTTGATTGCTTTAAAAACAGACTCAGTAACATGTACTTGATTGCTTTAGGAATAAATCTCAGTACCATGTACTTGATTACTTTAGGAATAAATCTCAGTACCATGTACTTGATTGCTTTAGGAATAAATCTCAGTACCATGTACTTGATTGCTTTAGGAATAAATCTCAGTACCATGTACTTGATTGCTTTAGGAATATATCTCAGCAATATCTACTTGATTGCTTTAGGAATAAATCTCAGTACCATGTACTTGATTGCTTTAGGAATAAATCTCAGTACCATGTACTTGATTGCTTTAGGAATATATCTCAGCAATATCTACTTGATTGCATTAGGAATAAATCTCAGTCCCATCTACTTGATTGCTTTAGGAATAAATCTCAGTACCATCTACTTGATTGCTTTAGGAATAAATCTCAGTACCATGTACTTGATTGCTTTAGGAATATATCTCAGCAATATCTACTTGATAGCTTTAAAAACAGACTCAGTAACATGTACTTGATTGCTTTAGGAATAAATCTCAGTACCATGTACTTGATTGCTTTAGGAATAAATCTCAGTACCATGTACTTGATTGCTTTAGGAATAAATCTCAGTACCATGTACTTGATTGCTTTAGGAATAAATCTCAGTACCATGTACTTGATTGCTTTAGGAATAAATCTCAGTACCATGTACTTGATTGCTTTAGGAATAAATCTCAGTACCATGTACTTGATTGCTTTAGGAATATATCTCAGCAATATCTACTTGATTGCTTTAAAACTTGACAGAATAAATCTCAGTAACATGTACTTGATTGCTTTAGGAATAAATCTCAGTAACATGTACTTGATTGCTTTAGGAATAAATCTCAGTACCATGTACTTGATTGCTTTAGGAATAAATCTCAGTACCATGTACTTGATTGCTTTAGGAATATATCTCAGCAATATCTACTTGATTGCTTTAAAAACAGACTCAGTAACATGTACTTGATTGCTTTAGGAATAAATCTCAGTACCATGTACTTGATTGCTTTAGGAATAAATCTCAGTACCATGTACATGATTGCTTTAGGAATAAATCTCAGTACCATGTACTTGATTGCTTTAGGAATATATCTCAGCAATATCTACTTGATTGCTTTAAAAACAGACTCAGTAACATGTACTTGATTGCTTTAGGAATAAATCTCAGTACCATGTACTTGATTGCTTTAGGAATAAATCTCAGTACCATGTACTTGATTGCTTTAGGAATAAATCTCAGTCCCATGTACTTGATTGCTTTAGGAATAAATCTCAGTACCATGTACTTGATTGCTTTAGGAATATATCTCAGCAATATCTACTTGATTGCTTTAAAAACAGACTCAGTAACATGTACTTGATTGCTTTAGGAATAAATCTCAGTACCATGTACTTGATTGCTTTAGGAATAAATCTCAGTACCATGTACATGATTGCTTTAGGAATAAATCTCAGTAACATGTACTTGATTGCTTTAGGAATAAATCTCAGTACCATGTACATGATTGCTTTAGGAATATATCTCAGCAATATCTACTTGATTGCTTTAAAAACAGACTCAGTAACATGTACTTGATTGCTTTAGGAATAAATCTCAGTACCATGTACTTGATTGCTTTAGGAATAAATCTCAGTACCATGTATTTGATTGCTTTAGGAATAAATCTCAGTAACATGTACTTGATTACTTTAGGAATAAATCTCAGTACCATGTACTTGATTGCTTTAGGAATAAATCTCAGTACCGTGTACTTGATTGCTTTAGGAATAAATCTCAGTACCATGTACTTGATTGCTTTAGGAATAAATCTCAGTACCATGTACTTGATTGCTTTAGGAATAAATCTCAGTACCATGTACTTGATTGCTTTAGGAATAAATCTCAGTACCATGTACTTGATTGCTTTAGGAATAAATCTCAGTACCATGTACTTGATTGCTTTAGGAATAAATCTCAGTACCATGTACTTGATTGCTTTAGGAATAAATCTCAGTACCATGTACTTGATTGCTTTAGGAATAAATCTCAGTACCATGTACTTGATTGCTTTAAAAACAGACTCAGTAACATGTACTTGATTGCTTTAGGAATAAATCTCAGTACCATGTACTTGATTACTTTAGGAAGTATTTATTTATAAATCAGTTGTATTTTGTTTTTATTGATTCATTGATTTAAAAGCTGATTTCAATACAACCACAAAGAAACAAAAACTTCAAAGACACCCAGAAATGATAAACTAACGTCATTATTAATTCATTGATCTGTTTATCTAATTAACATCAATCTTAAAAAACAAACCACAATACCTTGAGTGCAATGTTTATCACAAGATCCTGGCAATAGTAAGATGGTTTATTACTGGTACTCATCACTTGTCATGTAGTCGTTCACTGACTTCCTCTGATTTCTGATGCAGGTTGGAACTCCAACTGGAAGCCAGCTTCCTCCACCAGTGGGGAAAGTGTGTGGAAACATGACCTATATGATGACAAGGAAAAGGGTGAAGGGGACACTGGAGATAAAAAGGACGATAAAAAGACTTCTCACGAAGATAGCAGGGAAGACAACAAGCCAACCAGTACAACCTGAGGAAGGGGGATTACTCTTTAATTACAATCTTTGTCCTGGTGTTGGAAAAGCTATTATAAGGAGTCAGTGGATTCAACAGCAATGTTAAAATGATTTGCAATGGTCTTCTCAAAAATTATTTGGTTTGATAAATATTGTTGGTACAGGGAATCTTTTGACTCAAATTTGCTTCTTACTTGAAAATATGGGCATTCATTTTTTAATCTCTATATATACATATTATAGAGGGATATGATTTCAATTGAAAATAAGTTTACTTCTAAATTTTCATCTATGTTTAAAATTGCAGTCAAAACCTGAACATATTAACTTGCTTCACTGACTTCATAAATTCTTGAATTATATCTTCACAATTCATACACAAAGGATTTTCATAGGTCATCATACAAACTCATTCAGCCTGGTACATGCTTTCATACCTTAGCATTTTGATACCATGCATGCATTAAATGAGTCTCTATTTAATGAAACTGGTCATATGCTTTTGATATATTATCACCTTAAATTAAAAAAAAATTTAATGTACTTTTAATCACGTAACTCAGAAAAGTCACATTTTGACAGGTTTTAATGTGAAAATGTGGATGGTTAAATAAAACCGAGGCAGCTATTGTGTTGTATTATGTACATATTAATACGTCACAAACATAAAGTAGGACAACAGATGGAAAATTACACGAGGGACAAATACACAAACAACAGACAGATTATATGATAAAAGCTGGTAAGTCCTCGTTATAAACATACCCTCATTATTCTTACTTGAACTCATTTGCCTGAAGACATGTCCATAGACATACTTTATGAATCATGTATATGGTTTACACTGTGATGAAACTTACTTCACCCTTTAAATCCTGACATTCCTCCATAACTGTAATTTCGTAACATCATACATTATCAAAAACCCTCTAGTTCAACCATTAAAGCTGTCACAACCATAGATTAATGACACGATACATACTTATATAGAAGTTGTCCTAATAGGTGCTTTTCCATCATTATCACCCACCCAGATATGCCTCCTTGCTCCAAAGCCTACTAGCAATATGTGTTATCAAAGGCTGCAATGGAATATTAATAGACTCAAAGATTTTGGTTTATTTACAATATTATATTACAATATTTTACAGTTTTTATCACCATTCAATATCATCTCAAGTTGAACTGTTGTGATGATTTGCAAGAGACTGTTTCTACTTCAACAAAAAAAAAGTTATACATTAACAAAATTGGTGAAATTTTGAGGTGACTTTTTACGGTCTTCTAGCTTTATTTTAAAAAGAGATTTCTCTGTAACCCATTTGTAATTGTACCATTCATAATACTAAAAACAGATGAGTTGACCAGTTCAAGAGATTTACTTACCAGATACAAAAGGTAGATTATAAATTTACAATTTTTTGAAGATTATGTTTCATATGAGAACTTTACACTGATATATTGTGTGTAAATATCTTTAGCATTAGGAATGATTCAAGTACTTTGAATTGATGATATCCTTATAAAGGAAATTTTAATGATGTATTTGTGTTGAAACTATTTTACTGTGAAAAATTGTACCTAATTTTATTGTTTCTACAAATTTTATGGAGCTGTAAATACAAGAATTGAATGTAGCCATTTTTTTTTGTTATTGGAAATGAAATATGTATGTGTCATTTTCTTCGCAGTTTGAAGCTTTTTTCAAATTGTGGGCTACTAAAATCGCCCTACATCTGGTCTGTAGCTTGTCTGTGCATCTGTACGTCCATCTGTAAACAATCCATGTTATTATTATTTCATGAGAAGTACTGAATAGATCATGCTCAAATTTCATAATAATGATAACTTTTCCAGATGTGTCCTGTCAGCATTTGTGTTAAAGATGTTCAAGAATTACCAGCTTTATTGTTATATATAAGAAATCAAATGGTGTCAGTTATGATTTTAGCCTTTACTGAATGATGAATTTGACTTCCTAACTGCACAAAGTTGAAGTTTTTCATTTAGCTTGGTGTTGAGCTGTCATAACGAAACCTGGAATATACTTATATTTATGTATGGCCATACCAATATACAGTTCAGGTTCACCAACAGTGTACTGTTAATTAGGCTTTCTTAATTATACATAAATCTATTAAATACATAACATCTTTGCCTAATCCTGGTTGAAGGTTCCTTGTATACAGTAATATTGAAAGGGTTTTAGAAATTTCTTGTATGCCAAGATGTAAATCATCTATCTGGCTTAAACTCACCATATAATTATCTAAGTGGCTGTTTGTGTTCAGGATCCTTTGGCTTTGCAGTTTATAATGCAAACGAGAAAATTTAATTCATTTTATTTATTAAAATTTCATGAAAATGAGTGTATTCAAATTACATAGATTGAATTTATCATCTTGGAGATTAAAAACTTGTATAGCTTCTCAAGTAGGCTATGGTAGTGATATTATTACAAGGGATATACCTTTTTTACAACACAAAGAGATTCAGAGAGATTTTCTGAAAAAATTAGAATTTAGCATTATGCAATTAAAGTCTAAAATTGACTGAAAGGACCGGTACAGTGAAATTTGTTAAGTATATTAAATTTTCAGCTATTAACAAGGCTGGCCTAGGTAGATAGTTTTTGGCCTGTACCATGCAGTAATATCTTATATAGGGTTGACTTTAATACTTTTTTGAACATGTGTAAATGAAAATTGATATTATATATGATATATGTAAGGATGTTTTTTAAAGTAACTAGTAACTCACTATTACCAAAATAACACTTTTACACCTGACCTTGATTTGCCTTCAAAATATGCATGTTCATAACACTGAGGTAAAAAGGGCAGAACAAGGTGATCTCACTGTCATCTGTATATAACGGGGAGCATGTAATTGCTGCCTTTTCCATCTATCTGACCGTCCTTCCATCCATCCTTAAATTTCCGAAGCATAACTTTGTCTTTGGCAAGGGGCAATCGATGCTAAAGTAGGGGAAAAAATATCATCCATATTTTAAAAAACTTGTATTTCAAAAAAAGAAAATGTTTGATGACATTGTCATATGTCATCATGCTGATTATGGTGCTGGCGAAATCAGTTAAATTGGAAACCTTACAATAAGCAATGGCTGACTGATTACATCTGAAGAGGATGTCATGGTGTTGAGGGTCGAAATGTCTGGAGATGTTTGAATTCCAACTAAAGCATCGGTCTTCAAAGCTCTATGTCTGGCCGAAGTAGTGATACAGTATTGATCTTTGGTCCACACTAAACATTGTATTTAGAGGGAGTATTTCGGAGGTGAAATACATCTAACAAGCAAATCACTCCCTTTTGTGGGCTTCATTCATCACTCCAAAACAGGCCACCTATATTGATATCATGGGGTCCGGCATCCATCCATCATCTGGCATTCGTCATCTTACAACTTCTACTATATATTGCAATTATTCATGAACAACTGTGAGGATTTTAATTAAATTTGGTCTGAAGCATCCTTGGGGAAAAGGGAACCAGTTTTGTGTAAATGATAGGTCCAGAGGGGCTGGGCCTTCAAAGAAAATCAATCAGTTTCTTTAAAATCTATCTTACTCTTTGGGAATTGCAGGATATTGTTCAAATTTGGTCTGAAATATGCTTGTGTAAAGGAAAGTCAGTTTTGTGTAAATGGTGGGCCTCGGGGCCCCCTGGGTCTAGAGGGATGGGGCCTAAAAGGGAAAATCTATCATTGTCTGTAAGATGTATCTTGTTCTTTGGGAATTGCAGGATATCGTCCATATTTGATCTGAAGCATGATTGGGTGAAAGGAAATCGGTGCTGTATAAAGCATGGGTTTCGGCCCCCTAAAGCCAGATGGGATAGGCCCAGCAAGGCAATCTAACCCCAAGTAGATTTAGTTCATTTTCATATCATTGCTTTGCACTATCAACAATTCATTTGGATCTTTGGTTCTTTGAAAAAGTTGTGATCCCAACTGTATAAATATAGCATTGCTGAGCATCAGGAGATAAACATTACTGATCAATTGTCCTGGGGACTGATCCCATCCCAGGACAGATCATGTCTTTGAAATTATTGAGATTATCATCTCATAACTTAATAGCATTGCCGGACATCAAGATTAACATCTGATCTCTGTTCACACCCCTAGGGAATTTGAAGCTGTATCTCTTAGATTAGGCTCATCAGTAGATGTATTTTCCTTCTAAAGAACTGTTAAGTTTTGCATTATTTACTTAAATATCCAAATGAGCAATACAGGCCCTTTATGTCTCTTGTTTTATGATCCTATTAAAACTACATTTCAGTTTCTCTCTGTACATTACATACGTAATATAACATAGTTTACCTGAACGAGGGGGTTGAAATGTCCTTTGATATGTTAAACATTTATTTGTATGCGTTCAAAATCTTCTAAAATGTAACCATTCATAACATCCCAAGTTGATATGATGTAACTTGGCATTAACCAATGACAGTATGAGGGTGAGAAACATGGAATAGCCCAACAAGGGATAAAAAAACAAGAAAATAGTAACATGTCAACATAAGCATAATCCAAATTCAAATTCCATAAAACTAGTTCGAAATATGAACAAAAGAAAACTTTACACGGATACCCCTGAATGGTACAAGGAGAAAAGGACCGGGAAGGGCAAGAGCATCTTCTGCTTCATCGAGGACATTCGCCATTTAAATCTTGGTCAATCCAAGTAAGCAATGCCATGTTCTTGAATGAGATCAAGGTATACAACAATGGGACAAACTTGTGAGCATCAAACACTTCCAGCTTGATATTACATAAAGAAATAGAAGATATTTCTCAACGAGATCACTATGACGACCACAAAAACTTCCCCATTATTTTCATCAATCTGCATCTTTTAACCCTTGTGTCATGAGTTTGTCCGTCAGTTGACGACATTGTGCACGAAAATTGCAATAATGGGAACAGGCCCTTGAATATCGAATCAACTGTGACAAATAAATACCATAGGTGGTGGATGCAGGGATATTGCTATCCAGAAATGGAAAATTACCAACAGAGAAATTTAAATCACGATGTTTATAACATTAAGTCTGGAAAGCTGTCTATGTTGGTTTTGTTGTAGAAAAAGATCGAGACACGCACCTGATGTAGAAGAGTCTGTAGCGTCTTTGACTTCCAATTCTTGTGGGTATAGACGATGGATGTGGTAAATAAATGTCTTGTTATTTAAAGGCAACACATCATCAATATACCTGAAAATGGAATTTAACGACTTTGCAAGGTCTTTTGGACCTGTTTCAATAAGCTCTTCAGAAAATTCAGTACCGTGTGAAAACAAAAACAAGTCAGCCGACAGAAGAGCACAGCTTGTGTATGAAGATCTAACCACCAAACTCGACGAAAATATTGTCAACCAGAAACTTTATCATTTTTATGATTTCATCCTCCATAAATCCGCTGTCATTTTAAAAAAGTATACCAAGAAGATCACACAGTGTACCAGTGATGATATTAGCAGAGAAATAGACTGGGATACTCGCATCAAGTATAAACATAACACTCTAACCAATCTGGTGATTTTGAGACTTTGACTGCCATAGCAAAACACAGATACTAATTTTTACTACTCTAGAAATACCAAGTTTACCCTCTACATTTATTTTGATAGAATAAAACAGTTAAAACTATTTCAATAAGTTGTGTTATTGTTTTGTACAACAGAAATGAGCGGAAGACAATGATTTCATAACACATTTCATTAAGTTCATAGTTTTGGCAGTTATTGGAAAGATGGGTCAGCGAATCATATTTTCTTAAATTTGTCAAAACCAAGATGTATCATTACTGATACACTGTGATCTTCCTATAGGTATACTATAAAAATTAGAGGGGGTCATATTTCTGTTGTCGGGACGAAGTAATGCCCATTTAATACATGTTTGTCAGAATAGTTGTACATAATGTGTAGCATATGTATATTGCTTATAATGTATGACAGTGTCACGTGTTGTCAATGGAGAAATGGCGGGTTATCACACCAGGAACAATAACTTATAAAAAAGAATGTGGTAATTAGGATTACACTGGTGTTGAGGGATCTGTTGCCATTCTGATGCCTTTTGTCCACCGACAGGATTATTGGACATATATCCAGGGTTTGTTTTCTTGATCGTAATATAACTCTAATTGTTCCTTTCCTTGGAATTTTCTCTTTCCTTTGAATTTTGTCTTTTAGTTTTGTCTCTTTCTTTAGAATTTCTTAGTAATTTAGAAATTTATCCTCAGCTGGTATGAATCCCTCTTGTGTTCGACTAGGTCACAGGGGACAAGGTTACAGACTGAACGAGCGTTTAAAATTAGTTGGATAAAGTACACCATTTTTTGTCCCATTAAGACATTGAAGAATCCAAGAAAAACAGTGGATTGCATGTGCAATCTGTCGTCTTCCAACAGATACTGGTCCAATAGTTTCAAGGATAATTCTAGGCAACTACTTTCAGTGTCCCATTGATGTACCAACTATAACATAACTTAATTTGTCATGAATGGTTATTTATTTACTTTTGTAACAGAAGACAAATCCATGTTACGAAAAACACAATTGCGAACCTATATACATTAATAATTAGATTAAAAATTTATAAATTACATTAAAAAGACATAAATGAGTTGGGAAATGTGCAAAGAAGGGCAACGAAACAAATACCGGGAATGAAAGACCTAAGCTATGAAAGCAGGCTAAGGACCTTAAATTGCCGACACTGAGGCTCAGAAGATTGAGAGGAGATATGATTCAAGTATACAAACTAACACATGGAGGATATGATAGAGCTGTCGCGGAGGATTTCCTGATACAAAACAATAACAAGAGTTAACACAGTTTTCCACTATTAAAAAGAAGGAGCAGACTAAATCTGAGGAAGTATTCTTTCTGTGAACAGGTGGTAAACCACTGGAATTCACTTCCTAATGCCGTTGTGACGTCACCAACAATCAAAACTTTCGAATCCCGATTGGAGAAACATTGGAGGCAAACTGAATGTGTTTATAATCATGAACTAGACAATAACACACGGATCCATTTTCGAGATATTAATTCTTTAAACTCTGATCTGGATATATAGGCTTAATAAGCTTGCGTCCATATATTATTATTATTATTATTTAATACTTCAACTATAAACTTGATTCGGAGTGGAAAAAAAATAATAGAGAACATGCTACTTCTAGTATCTGATTAAGCAGCTGCAGTATTTTGTCAATCTATGTCATATGGATACAGAAAGCGGAGTTTATAGTTAAACGAGAGGTAACTCGAGGTAGTTTCCATCACCGGAAAGCTATTTTTCAGGGGAAGTAACTCGTGTTAGTTTCCATAACCGAAACTATTTTTTGTATATATTCTTATGTTAGTTAGAACAATATGAAAACGTGTTATCAATAAATATATATATATATAAAATCAAATAAATGTAAATAACATTTTCAAAAATGTACAGACTCACAATTCTCGGCTGAGCATCTTTAATTATTGGATAAACAGCAGAGACAAATCGTGAATTAAACTGCATTTTACAGCTAATATTGTTCTTCTATGTTTTGTCAATGTTTTCAATGGCCAAATTATATCAGACGAAATGGACGATTAATTAAAACCAAACTTGACGGAAATGTCAACAAGTATATGGGAAAGTTCGATAGTACCCATGTAATTCACAAATTTCCGTGATTTCCACTATTTAAAAAAAAAAAAAACACAAAGTACGTCATGTGTATTGAGAAACCAAGCCACTATTCGCATGAATCAAAACGTGACGTGCATATTTTAAGAGGAGAAAAATTTGTACGCCGTGAAGGAAGCTGTGTAGCATGTGTAACCTATGTAAAACTTTTTACAATTTACACAGAAGTCTCGTCTCATAATGACATTGTCTATATTTACAATCATATGAGTTAGGATAAATATGATTGCCTACTGACGTTAATGCCGCGGTAAGGCTTCTAATGTATTTTATTTCCACATTACGTATGACACACACGTGTACACAGCACTTGTGTGTGTGGGTGAATATTTACGTTTCTGTAAACAAAGGCTTGCTTATGTTATGTTATGTGCTAAAGTTTATGCAAATATTGTTACTAGCCCACAGACAGATACACACTTGAAAGGAAACAGGTTCTCGATTGTAGTTCACTAAGTATGTTTGTTCTAATTTTTTGTATGTATAGAGTGTACACGACTTTTTTGTGAATAGAAACGCGCAATCATCAGTCGCATTATCCATGCACAGCCTTATATTATAACCGAAACTTTCTCGCATACACAAATCGCAAAACATATGGCGCACTTTAGCATGAACAAAAAGACATGATATATACACTGATCTATAAATAATTTCCGAGTTTCTCAATTTTCCATGAAAGGCACAATTTTGCAGCGACAGAGCGGAATGTGTTGTTTAACAAATTAAAATGGTACTTCCCTACCCGAGTCCGTATACTGATATACGAAGGGGTAATAAATAAATAAATAATGTGTTATTGCATTGTGAGAGTTCCCTCTGTCTCCTCTATTAGATGTGAAACTTTTTATATTGTCGTATACATGGTCCAGAGAGGACATTTCCTGATGACGGCAAGACACAACAGGATTTCTATACATTTATGTATGTACTACGTTTCTATACATTTATGTATGTACTACATTTCTCTACATTTATGTATGTACTACATTTATGTATATACTATATTTATGTATGTACTACATTTCTCTACATTTATGTATGTACTACATTTCTATACATTTATGTATGTACTACATTTCCCTACATTTATGTATGTACTACATTTGTATACATTTATGTATGTACTACATTTCTCTACATTTATGTATGTACTACATTTCTCTACATTTATGTATGTACTACATTTCTCTACATTTATGTATGTACTACATTTCTCTACATTTATGTATGTACTACATTTCTATACATTTATGTATGTACTACATTTCTCTACATTTATGTATGTACTACATTTATGTATGTACTATATTTATGTATGTACTACATTTGTATACATTTATGTATGTACTACATTTCTCTACATTTATGTATGTACTACATTTCTCTACATTTATGTATGTACTACATTTGTATACATTTATGTATGTACTACATTTGTATACATTTATGTATGTACTACATGTGTATACATTTATGTATGTACTACATTTCTTTACATTTATGTATGTACTACATTTGTATACATTTATGTATGTACTACATTTCTCTACATTTATGTATGTACTACATTTGTATACATTTATGTATGTACTACATTTCTATACATTTATGTATGTACTTCATTTCTCTACATTTATGTATGTACTACATTTCTCTACATTTATGTATACACTACATTTATGTATGTACTACGTTTGTATACATTTATGTATGTTCTCGATTTCTAGGCATTAGTGCTTTGTGACATTTTATAACGAATCTTTACACACATTTTTAGCGTAAACTTTATCGACATTAGCACATATGTACTGTTAAGTATTTAAACATAGATAGTGAATCATTATTCATGTGAAACTGAGCTTCATTTCCTTAAAATCAAAAATGATTTTACGCCAATTCTCATAATTCTTTATGCTACGGTGAAATCATGCGTCAGAGACATAAACACGGAATTGTCCCATCTGTTGAAATACTTCATCCGTTGAAAAACACTTTCAGTGTTGAATAAATATTTTAATATTTACTGTAAAATAAGATGCCAAAATGTACTCAAATGTTTAATATGTTAAGGTGCAGGTGTCAATATATTATGTGTAACATAGGAACATTAAAAACAGAAAAGGAAAATCCTTATAGTTTACTCACTTGAAATTAACATCAGCTTCAGATCAATATTACCGGGGACGTATAATACAGATCTGTGTTATACGCCTCTGATATTACATAATTTGTACTTTCGCATAGATGACATGACAATGTTAATTTCTGTCATGACATCATTCCGTAATACCCCTGTAAAATAAAATGAAATTGTAGACTCGTAATACACACTGAAACTATCTACAATATCGTTATCAAATCTAGACCGGCTGCATTTCTAGACAGACCTTAACGTTAGGGTGTAACTGTAACCTTTAATCCGGTACAAAACACCGAACCATGAATGGGGTTTAAGGGGCTTAAAAGGATGGCCGGCTTTTATTCTTATTGCAGTAAAGTTATATTTGGATTATGGTAATTAATCGGTAGTTAAAGCACTGAAAGGTGTCATGAACGCCATAGCAACCTGCTAATCAATACACACTGTGTATTGTACACGTGTGTGTGGAATTCCCCTAAATGTGCCTCGTTTTGACCTCGCACATGTGTACACTCTCCTGACATCCAAGATGGCGCTTTCTATGTGAACGGGTGGAGAGTGTAGGTAAATTTTTGTTTAGTTTGGGTAGTTCTCGGAACAGGATGGTTACAGAAAAATGACAGGCTAGTATTTATGACTTCAGATGTTCCATGCAGGCTGTTCAGCGATATTCTCTGCTACTCGCCGTAGGAATTTTACTATTAATTCTCTATTATGGCTTGAATACAAATTTTAAAAATGGAGGAAAGGTTCGGTCCTTGTTTACCCTTCGAAGGGAAAATCTCAGATCGTTTACCGATTCTGAAGACTACAGTTTTGCTGAAGATCTGCACATGTCCCCAAAACATCGACGTGAAAGGGCGTCAGAGTCGAAAAAGAGACAAAAATGTCGAATGGAATCGTGTTTCGATTTGTCAAGGTGTCGGAAAGATTTCAAAGTATACCTGTATCCACTGGAGGAGAGGGTATCGGAAACATATAGCAAACTGGTCTCGGCGATCCAGGAATCGAGATACTATACCACCGATCCGCAAGAAGCATGCGTGTTTGTGTTATCTATAGACACAATAGATAGAGATGTACTTAGTCAAGATTATTCTAAAAATATTCAAGCTAGAATTGAACAATTAGAACATTGGAATAATGGAAGAAATCATATTATATTTAATCTGTATTCAGGGACGTGGCCCGATTATACAGAAAATTTGGATTTCAATATTGGCGATGCGATGTTGGCTAAAGCCAGTATGTCGGTGCATAAGTTCCGTCATGGGTTTGATATTTCGTTTCCTCTCATTGGTAAAGACCACCCGCAAAAGGGTGGAGAGAGAGGTCATGTGTACAGTTCATCAAACAACATTCCTCCATTCCGTCATTACTTATTAGGATTTAAAGGAAAACGTTATTTAACGGGGATAGGATCAGAAACAAGAAATTCTTTATATCATATTCATAATGGAGAGGATATAGTGTTGTTGACTACATGTCGACATGGAAAGAGTTGGCAGAAGAAAGCGACTGAATTGAACGACACTAGATGCGAGACTGACAACATTGAATATGACAGGTAATTTCAAGTCTGATTATGTTTTTTAGTTTGATTTATTGTTAAGATTTTCATTCCCGATACGAGACTGTCAACATCATACTTGACAGGTAACAGATATATAACGTCTTGATTATGTTTTAAAATGATTTCTTAATATGATTATCATTAATGAAAATATTTAAGATGGTTCTTATGAAAGCGATTACAGGGCAGTACTGTGTTACTCTTTAATATAACATAATGCTATTGATGGCACACCCAGGTTCCGGTATCGGGCATCGATTGCCAAGTTTTGTATAAAGTACTTGAAACAAGGGTACAAGTAGGTCACATATATCACTGTAAAAGTAGACCATAAAAGTAAGATTAAACTGGGCTTACAATCACAATAGACAATGTGTGTACTATTTATGGAGCAGCTAATTGTATTGAACTTCTAAACTATCTAAACACACGTGTTTCATAGAATTGAGCTATCGGTATTTTACTGAGAACTTCTAAACTCAACTTATCACAAAGATGTGTAATATATTTGAGCCTCCTTTACTACACTGTGGGCTGCTAAACTCAACTGACCAGATCTATATGTACTATAATTGAGCTGCCTTCTAATCTCAGCAGACTTGTACTATAATTGGGCTACTATATATGTATTATACTGTGGGCTTCTAACGTCAACTGATCAGATATATGTGATATAATTGAGCTGCCTTCTAAACTAAGCAGCCATGTGTACTATAATTGAGCTACTATATATGTATTATACTGTGGGCTTCTAACGTCAACTGATCAGATATATGTGATATAATTGAGCTGCCTTCTAAACTAAACAGCCATGTGTACTATAATTGAGCTACTATATATGTATTATAATGTGGGCTTCTAAACTCAACTGACTATAATTGATCTACCAGTATCACCATATTTTCTGGGTTATAAGCCATATTTTTTCCTCGGCGGTCAAGCTTTCAGCTTATATACTGATGCAGCTAATATGTAGACGAAAAAAAAAATCGGCAGAATGAAAACAAAAAAAATGAATAATATCGTCTGGACATCGGTTCCGGACCTTAATGTATTTCAGAACAGGAGTATCACTTGTACTATTGACCTGCATGACCTCACGCCCTGATAATTTTGGTTGCTGTAACATGTCACGCTTCCAGAAAGAATGAAAAATAGTGATTTAAACCAAGAATACCAGTATGAGATGTCACTACCAAGTTTTTAGGTTTTTAGAACAGATTGTCAAAAGCTTTCATTTGCAACCGTTTAAGATTTTAAGATTGAAATAAAAATTAAATTCTTGTGGATTTAATTAATCGTACCTTTTGATATGAATCACAATAATATCTTCTGAACTCTCATGGTAGCTTCGGAAGCCATAGCGTGGGTATCGGGTCAAACTTTAGAATGACCGCCATGTTTGTTAACGATAGGAAAGATATCGTTTAACTAACAAGAAATAATATGGGATTGTAAGAATTTTGTCACCATGCAAGGGCCTTCGCTAATATTTAACTGTACAGACACAGATTGAGATATTGTTAAGTTAGCGATACATAACATCAGGCTCTATATCTTTTCATAGACAATCTTTGAAGGCTGTCAAGCCAGACAAGTTAGATAATTGTTATTTTACATTTTTGAAACACATCAAGAAAATAAAGGATTATCTCTATATAATTCATTTGCAAACTTATATTAAATGTTTCACTGAGTATTTAGATAAATTGCCTTCCATTGGCTGTTATATCAACAAACTTTGGTCAACATAAGGGTTACCACATTGTAAGAATGGGTTGGCTTATATTCCAGTGCTTTGTATATGTGGCTCAAATAGAAAAAAATTTACTAAAACCAATCCTGTGGCTTATACTCTGGTGTGGTTTGTAGCCCGAAAAATATGGTACACTGAGGACTTCTAAGTGCAACTGTGTGTACGATAATTTAGCGATGCCTGAATTAAACTAAGGTCTTCTAAGCTCACCTGAACAGATTAATGTGCTCTATAATTGAGTTACTTGTAATAAAACTGAGGGCTTCTAGACTCTGGATATGTGCGCTTGTGAAAGTTTCATTGTCAGTGCTGCTTGCATTGGTTCTTTTAAGTTTACTTGTTATAACTAAATGATTACAATATTTCAGAGAAAAAATTACAAATGGTTACCGGTATGTAAAAGTGTTGGTCATATATGGTTGTAACAAAGAAAAGTGTATAGCTATTTGTGGGTTTGAAGCAAGGACCAGCTGTCTCAAGCCAGATTTCATGATAACAGTACATAATACTGGTGCTTATAACTATCTTAAAATCTACTCTCGCTGGCTCTGATGGAAGTGTGCTAGAGGATCTTACTCTGAAAGAAAACTAAAGTACTGAGAAAAAACCACAGGTGGGCAGGTGACTATACCTTTTCATGTCTATTTGGAGAATTGAAGCCTAATCATATGGTCCCCCTAGTAATAGCTGAGTGTGTTAAGACACTGCGCCATTCAGTCTCTGAATACTCAAGATCAGTGTGTACTTGTTCACCTGCAAGCCAGTTCCATCTAAGGTACAAGTTAGATAATTAATAGTTGAAAGGTTTATAGCACATTTTGATGTGCTTCATGTCTGATTTTTAGCAAATGAAAAATAAACCGTGTAGTTTTGTCCTGAAGCATTGTTGAGTTATATGTACATGTACATTACAACAGGACATTTCAAATAACTTCTTGAGTTTACTTTGTAACTTTGTTTTATGTATGTGATGTAATTTGTGTCTGGATAAAGGGGCAGATTGTCTAAAAAATTTGACAATTTACGTGTGCCCTGCTGTTGTTATCACTTCATTGATCATATATCTATTCCAATAATATGCATCATATGAACATTTTTTTGTTAGGATCCAATACCAGTATTGGAACATACCGTTGATATTACTTACAAAAAAATATCATGTACATTAATATGTATAACTAGGGGTTGTCTCGAAATAAGTTATAACTCACATTCTGAAAGTTCAGTCTGATACCTCCAGACGTTTTCCACAACCATGTCGACATCAAGGTAACAAAGGTTTACTGTACATATATATAGTACCAAACATCTAAATACAATATGATATAAGTCTGATGATAGTAACAATATACATTTGATGGTATGTACAAAATAGGTATAATTAAAGGTACAATATAGGTCTGATTATAGGTACAGTGTAGGTCTGATTATAGGTACAATGTAGGTCTGATTATAGGTACAATGTAGGACTGATTATAGGTACAATGTAGGTCTGATTATAGGTACAATGTAGGTCTGATTATAGGTACAATGTTAGTCTGATTATAGGTACAATGTAGGTCTGATTATAGGTACAATGTAGGTCTGGTTATAGGTACAATGTAGGTCTGATTATAGATACAATGTAGGTCTGATTATAGGTACAATGTAGGTCTGATTATAGGTACAATGTAGGTCTGATTATAGGTACAACGTACGTCTGATTATAGGTACAATGTTAGTCTGGTTATAGGTACAATGTAAGTCTGATTATAGGTACAATGTAGGTCTGATTATAGGTACAATATAGGTCTGATTATAGATACAATGTAGGTCTGATTATAGGTACAATGTAGGTCTGATTATAGGTACAATGTAGGTCTGATTATAGGTACAATGTAGGTCTGATTATAGGTACAATGTAGGTCTGATTATAGGTACAATGTAGGTCTGATTATAGGTACAATGTAGGTCTGATTATAGGTACAATGTAGGTCTGATTATAGGTACAATATAGGTCTGATTATAGGTACAATATAGTTCTGATGAAATGTACAATATGCATCTTAATTTTGATTGATTTGTTTTTGTTCAGAATTTTGTTTACCATCTTTTAATTAAATGATGATATTGATTAAAAATCAGATGTGTTCTAGGAAATACAAGAAATTATTTTCCTTTTAGGTGAACAAAATCTTATATGTCTGATATTTCTAGTCACAAACCTGCTGATGGTTTTACTGGCTGAAAGCTCTGAAGGATGTCAGATGTTTATCTACCTTAGACTTAGACAGGATGTAACCTAAAGCTTGCATCAAGGAAGTCCTTAATGCTTTTGACACATTTTGATATAGAAAAGGAAAACATCTTTATATTTTCGGGTGCTGATATAATCAATGGATCATAATTTGAGACTTTCTTACCAGGTACCTAGCCCGGTACATGTAATGATGTAGTTTCCAAGTAGTCGTGGTATTGACGTTTTGGAAGGAACTAACTTGTTTCTTAAATTTCATTGTGATTCAATTCTGCCTTGAGTGTTAATTCAAACAGGATTCTGTTGCAGTTATTTTTGCTGCCAAATCTATGTAGGTTTTAATACTTTGGCTGTTTTCCCTTATTGATCCAGTCATAGCCCATGTTTCTTAATAAGCCCACCCATAATCATACTATTACAAATCATTGCAATTTCACTGCCCTGCAATAAGCCCACCCCTAACTTTGGGTAAGAATTTGTAGGTTGGGCCCCATATACTTAATGGCAGATTAAATGTTATAGAAAACCTGATCGTGAAAGCCACTTTTACCTAGTGATAAAAGCTGTATTAGGAACATAAAAAAATTGACTAAGAATTATAAATCAATGCAAACATTCCATTTAAAATGTACAAATTAATGTTTAGGTAGAGCGGGTTATCTCTGAACATCAATGTAATAAACACATAAATTATTATACCAGTAAACTCAGTGTTGTTACACGGTATCATATATATTTATGATGTTAAAGGTGAACTCTCCCACACAACATTTTAATGTTCCCGATTGAATTTCAGTAATTAGATTTTTATGCCTCTGTATCATCCCATAGTCTTGATATTGAAACGTTACTGTGTGGTATAACCTTCAATGTAATTCGAAAAATTGGAAAGGTCAGACAACAAAAATAGGAATCCATTGTATTCCATTGATAGGTCAGATCCCTGCTCACTGATGTAGATGAAATGATTTAGCATGTTTTATAATGACTTAATGTACAAAT